TACTCCGGGTTAAGAACTTTGCTTCAGGATGAGAACAAAAATCGTGCTCTGGCAGCGCGGCAGCAGCAGCAGGCCCCATTAGCTAAAGTGGTGCTTCAGGTTAAGAACAGTTTCAGGTTAAGAACGGACCTCCAGAACAAATTAAGTACCGTACTTAACCCGAGGTACCATGGTAATAATAATAATAAATTTTATTTATACCCCACCCTCCCTGACCAGAGCTGGGCTCAGGGCGGCTAACACCAATAAAATCACAGTAAAAACATAATAGGGAAAAAGAGGGGGGGGACAATTTAAAATACAGGTTAAAATGCAATTTAAAATGCATTAGCTATTGCATCCGAGGGCTTTCAATATGTGCCTAAAGGTAAAGGTAAAGGTACCCCTCACTCTATAGGCCGGGAGCCAGTGCTGTCCGCAGACACTTCCGGGTCACGTGGCCAGCGTGACATCGCTGCTCTGGCGAGCCAGAGCCGCACACGGAAACACCGTTTACCTTCCCGCTAGTAAGCGGTCCCTATTTATCTACTTGCACCCGGGGGTGCTTTCGAACTGCTAGGTTGGCAGGCGCTGGGACCGAACGACAGGAGCGCACCCCGCCGCAGGGATTCGAACCGCCGACCTTTCGATCTGCAAGTCCTAGGTGCTGAGGCTTTAACCCACAGCGCCACCTGCGTCCCTAATATGTGCCTAACCTCCCCCTTATTTTTTTTAAAAAAAATCAAGTCATCTGAATTTCCCATTTTTACCCTTTGACACTGAAGGCGTCTATATTTAGACCCATCGTGTTCTCCCAATTGTAAATTGCTAGGGCTAATTTTAATACTGCATTATTATTATTTTTACACCTGCAGTGGGACCCTCTGTTGAAGGGCAGGTAAGAAGTGCGCTTTGGGTGGGCCTACATGGCGTGTAACGTTTGCCTGGCTTTTACCCAGGGCCAAGCCTTGACTGGGGCAGGCCATGCCCTGTGGAACTCCTTGCCAATAGAAGTTTGGCAGGAGCCAACCCTACCCTTTTTTTTTAATGCCTTCTAAAAACGGTATTATTTAGACGTGCCTTTCAAAACCTGAGATTCTTCATTTGACATTCTTACTGCAGCACTGTGTGTTATCTTCTTGTATGAAAGTGTGATTTTTAATACAGTGGTACCTCGGGTTAAGTACTTAATTTGTTCCGGAGGGTCTGTTCGTAACGTGAAACTGTTCTTAACCTGAAGCACCACTTTAGCTAATGGGGCCTCCTGCTGCTGCCGCGCCGCCAGAGCACGATTTCTGTTCTCATCCTGAAGCAAATTTCTTAACCTGAAGCACTATTTCTGGGTTAGCGGAGTCTGTAACCTGAAGCGTATGTAACCTGAGGTACCACTGTAAATAATAATAAAAAAAAGGTATTTGCTTTTGCTGCGGCCGTCAGTTCCACAATTGGGCGCGGCGTGGGCAGGTGGGGAATGTTCATATCCCAAATAATAATTGTTGAAAATTCAAATCCCACCCCCCGTTAACATGCTTAAGCCTCCGTCCTTAAGATGGGGAGCCAAATCTCAGCCCTGGACTTGACTCTTAAGCGGCTCTCGCGAAATCCGCTTTGGGCAGAAGCTGCTGGGCCTGCACTTAATTAACCGCTAGTGTTGCTACCTTCGCTTCCTAGAGTTTGAAACAGCGACCCCCTGACCCCTCCCTTCCCGTTTATTGTGGTCTACAAGTGTTAGGTTCGCTTTCGAAATCCGCAGCTCCTTAACCCCTTGAACTCCTTAGGCCTCTCGCTTGTGGGGCTCCTGTGATCAGCTCTGCCAGGTTAATCAGGGAGGGCATGAGGGGGCGGGGAGGGGGCGCGGGGGGCCCGGGGCTTTGTTTTAGTCCCCCGGCAAGTCGGGGGGCTGCAATCCGAGCCCCTTCGGTAGCTGTGCGAGAGGCCCGGTGTCCCCCTTTGAACTCTCTTCAATTGGGCAAGGGAAGGGAAGGGAAGGGGGGGTCAAAATAATTACAGCCCCAGCGGAGGCGTTGTGGAAATCCCTGCTAAATCCTGGCCTCCTCCTTAAAGGATTTATGGGGAGGGGGAAAGGCTTGCATGGGAGAAGGAACTGGGAGCTGCGGATAAGGGAGTTGCCCCATGGTAGGGATTCCCTGAGCCGGCAGCAGCTACTGGACAAGCAGAAGTCGAACCGGTGAAGCTGCCGCCCTTGCTGAATACCCTTGCCAGGAAAAACAAATTTCGTAGAATCATGGCGTTGGAAGGGACCCTTGAGGATCATCTAGTCTAACCCGCTGCAATGCAGGAACACACAGCTGTCCCAAACTTGCAACCGTGGCGTTATCAGCACCAGGCTCTAACCAACTGAGCTATATTTTGTCCGTTCGTTTCTTCCTGTCGGCGCAGGGTCAGGGTAGGGAAGAATTTGCCTACCGATGGTCCCTGTTTACAAACACACTAGGGATACTAATAATACCGGCCTACTTTGCAGGGACGGGACGCAGGTGGCGCTGTGGGTTAAACCACAGAGCCTAGGACTTGCCAATCAGAAGGTCAGTTGTTCGAATCCCCGTGACGGGGTGAGCTCCCGTTGCTCTGTCCCAGCTCCTGCCAACCTAGCAGTTCGAAAGCACACCAAGTGCAAGTAGATAAATAGGTACCGCTCCAGCGGGAAGGTAAACGGCATTTCCGTGCGCTGCTCTGGTTCGCCAGAAGCGGCTTAGTCATGCTGGCCACATGACCCTGTACGCCGGCTCCCTTGGCCAATAAAGCGAGATGAGCGCCGCAACCCCAGATTCGGTCACGACTGGACCTAATGGTCAGGGGTCCCTTTACCTTTACCTTGCAGGGATATTGGGAGGACTTTTGAGGGGGTGCAGATTGGGGGCAGGCAGTTTGGTGCCTTCCAAATCATTGTTGGACTACAGTTCCCATAACGGGGGGCCACATGGCTAACTTTCCATACTGGGCACCCAAAGTGACTGGGGAACGGGGGGGGGGGGGGAGAGAGAGAGAGAAAAACTTTCCCAGAGAACTATTTTTCTTCTCCTTGTCATACACTCCGGGATGAGGGATGCTTCAAGGTCAATAAAGAATCAACTGCAGGGTGTTCTAATTGGTTTACATGGGCCGTCAAAGTTTTCCTAGCTGGGTCTCTGCCACAGGCGTCTATTTTGTATGGCCTTTACATTCATCTGCTCTTATTTTCTGTGTTGTGTTTAACTGGTTTTCCACGCCACGCTCATTGCATTTTGTACCTTGCCTTGAGGTATGGGGGGGGGAGGCGAATTAGTTAGCTAATTAGTTTAATTAAGAATACAATATAGATTTGACTCTGGTTGCATGGCCTTTGGGACAGCTGAGGACTTTCAAGGATCGGCTCAGTTCTCGCAAAGCTTCTCATCCAAGCCATTCACTGAATGCCCAAGGAATAAGAATTGCCTTGCAGATGACAGATGAAGGGTTCTTTCTTTCTATCATCCATCTATCTATCTATCTATCTATCTATCTATCTATCTATCCATCCATCATCTATCTATCTATCTATCATCTATCTATCTATCTATCTATCTATCTATCTATCTATCTATCTATCATCTATCTATCTATCTATCTATCTATCATCTATCTATCTATCTATCATCTATATCTATCTATCTATCTATCTATCTATCTATCTATCTATCTATCTATCTATCTAAGGTAAAGGTAAAGGTACCCCTGCCCGTACGGGCCAGTCTTGACAGACTCTAGGGTTGTGCGCCCATCTCACTCAAAAGGCCGGGGGCCAGCGCTGTCCGCAGACACTTCTGGGTCACGTGGCTATCTATCTATCATCTATCTATCATCTATCTATCATCTATCTATCATCTATCTATCATCTATCTATCATCTATCTATCATCTATCTATCATCTATCTATCTATCATCTATCTATCTATCTATCTATTGTTACGGAAATACAAGGGGGGGCCACATCTTTAAAGTTAAATATTACAAATATTATGCCTGAATGTATCCTTTCAACTTGACAGCTCAGGGAAGTTACCGTATTTTTTGCTCTATAAGACTCACTTTTTCCCTCCTAAAAAGTAAGGGGAAATGTGTGTGCGTCTTATGGAGCGAATGCAGGCTGTGCGGCTATCACAGAAGCCAGAACAGCAAGAGGGATTGCTGCTTTCACTGCGCAGCGATCCCTCTTGCTGTTCTGGCTTCTGAGATTCAGAATTTTTTTTCCCTTGTTTTCCTCCTCCAAAAACTAGGTGTGTCTTGTGGTCTAGTGCGTCTTATAGAGTGAAAAATACGGTACCTAGCTTTAAAAATAATATAAAATCATCTCCTTTCCCAGTTTCCTCCATTCTAAAGCTATTTTCCCCTTGAAAAAGGACTCCAGGAAGTTCCCAGAGGTGACAATTGCTGGGCTCATTGTTAGCCAAAGGAAGTCAAATCTCATCACCTGACTCGCCTCAGGCTCCAGACATGCAAAGGAACTTCTATTGTACTTTTGGGTGGTGGGTACTTAAGACATATTTGTCTATGCTAATCTTATACCTGAGTCTTGCCCTGCCATGTCTGCTTATGCTAATCGTGTACCAAGGACTTGTCTGGACACGTTTGCCAAGGTTAACCCCTCCCCTTTTGTGACATGTCAGTGATGTAGCAATGATGCTGTACGAACTGTATTCTGGGATATGGTGGGAAAGTTTTAAAAGTCTTTGTCACCCCATCCTCGGGGTTCAAATTTGCTCTTTGAACCTATTGCTCAATAAACTTTGGTCTACAGCTATTTACTCCGGTTGGCTGGAATCCTTCCTTTATTCCGCAGGGACCCGCGGGCTCTGCCTGACGAGCTGGGTGACTGAGCAGCCTCGCACCTGGATTTTTTCCATAACACTATCTGTCTAATCTACCCTTCTGCTGATAACCATTCTTCCTGGGTTGGGGATGAAAGGAAAACATGGATCTGGATATCTCCTGGTGCTCACTCACACAGCTAACCTTGCCATGTGTGCTCCCTTCTCCTGTAGAACAACTCTTGGATCCGGGATCACGATGAGACGGGATCCAACGCACTCTGGGACCGCCGGGACCTTCCAGCGGTGGGATCGCGTCGGCAGAAGCGGCGAATAACTCCCAGGACAAGGTAGGTTTAGCGGATGCTGGAGGGAGGAGAAAGGCTCTGCTTTCATGTTCCTGGATTTTCTGCTGGCCATAAGAAGCATTGCGAGAGAGCCTTTTAGATAATTAAGGATGTAAAGGATGGGACGCGGGTGGCCTGTGGAAAAGGCCTACGCGCTAGACTGGCCGATCGAAAGGTCGGCGGTTCGATCCGCGGGGTGCCTTCCCGTTGCTCGGCCCGCGCTGCCAATCCTAGCCAGTCGAAGCACCCCGGGTGCAAGTAGATAAATATGGAACCGCTTACTAGCGAGAGGTACGCGTTTCAGTGTGCGCTCTGGCTCGCCAGATGCAGTTGTCACGCTGGCCAGCTAACCCGGAAAGTGTTCTGCGGACAGCGCTGGCCCCTGTGGCCTCTTGAGTGAGATGGGCGCACAACCCTAAGAGTCTGGCAAGACTGGCCCCGTACGGGCAGGGGTAACCTTTACCTTTTACCCTTTAAGGATGTAAAAGAAGGTGCAAAAGGTGATGTCTTTGACCAACAGCGCTAATACAGTGAAGAAAGAATTTAAGGGAAACACTTGTAGATAAAGAAAAGACATCCACCTCCAAATAAAAATATTTGACACGGGGCCAACAAAATAGGGAAGCTGAAGAAAAATAACTGTTATAACACTGTATAAAAAATACAGTGGTACCTCGGTTTTCAAACATAATCCATTCAGGAAGACCATTCGAGTTCTGAAACGTTCAAAAACCGAAAACTTCAGTATGGAAGCCTCAATACGGAAAATTCAATATGGAAAACTCAATACGGAAGGCATGTAGCATGTTTGACTTCCAAGGCGAGTTCAAAAACCGAAGCATTTACTTCCGGGTTTATGGCGTTCGAAAACTGAAATGTTCATCAACGGAGACGTTTGAAAACCGAGGTATCACTGTACCAACAATGAACCAGGTAACCTGACAATAAACTATTGTTACACGGCAACGAAAGTTCAGAAACTGAGTTGAAAAAGTCAGTTACGATTACCATAATCGTGATGGTTGTTCTTCGCATTTAAGCACTGCAGCCTTGCTCAGGCCCGGGGTCTTCCAGATGTTTTGGGCTATAACTCCCATCAGATCCAGCTTAATTCATTTGCCTTCAGTCTGGGAAGAGGACTTAACTGAAGGCAAGCAATGTCAGCCCTGAGTGAGGGCAATGCTTCCTGAATCTCCAAATCTCTCCAAAATCTCTGTAGCCAGCAATGCCTTTCGCAGCAGACTTGCTTGCAGACAGTGCTCCTCTTCCTAATTTCTGCTTTCATATTAACTCAGCCATCTACGCCACAGCCCTGTGTGTCAGGCCATTATTTATGAGACCCATCTTGCAAAATAATAATAATGAGGGATGGAGGCTGAGGCAAAGAAAATGGTGGCTCGGCTGAGCCCCCCTTGTAAGATTATAACTCTGTAAAATCGAGATCCCTTAGCACAAGAGCAATGACACACTGGAGTACTGTATTTTTCGCTCTATAAGACGCACCTAGTTTTTGGAGGAGGAAAACAAGAAAAAACACACCATATTTTTCGCCCTATAGGACGCACTTTCCCCCCTCCAAAAATGAAGGGGGAATCTGTGTGCGTCCTATGGGGCGAATGCAGGCTTTCTCTGAAGCCTGGAGAGCGAGAGGGGTCAGTGTGCACCGACCCCTCTCGCTCTCCAGGCTTCAGGAAGCTATCCGCAAGCCTTGGGAGCTCCGCGGGAGTTGCTACTGGAGCCAAGGCCACCCAAATTTAGTGTAGAAATTATCAGCAGTGCTTCAGGAATTTGAGTTCTGTGAACTTAACAATGTAACCTGTATCTTATCGGCCATTGTATTTGATCGGGAGGCAATTTGGATTCGACACTCCTTTGAATTTTGCGGTGTACGATTCTCGGACGAAAGAAATGTCTCATTTAGAATAAAACGGATTTTGACGGGCATGCCTTTAGATGAGGTGTGTTCAGAAATGCTCGTTTTGCGCTAGAGCAAGTATTTGAATAAGTAAATGAAAAGAAGTATTTAAGGATGAATTTTCACACTGATTTATTTAAAAAAACAAACCACCCCACAGGCAACTGTAAGAGCAGGACAGGCTTATGAACAAAAATGTGTGAAACCAGATCTCTCCATCGCAAGAAATTATGGTCAATACAGTGGTAAAGGTAAAGGTAAAGGGACCCCTGACCATTAGGTCCAGTCGTGGCCGACTCTGGGGTTGCGGCGCTCATCTCGCTTTATCGGCCGAGGGAGCCGGCATACAGCTTCCGGGTCATGTGGCCAGCATGACTAAGCCACTTCTGGCAAACCAGAGCAGCGCACGGAAACACCGTTTACCTTCCCGCCGGAGTGGTACCTATTTATCTACTTGCACTTTGACGTGCTTTCGAACTGCTAGGTTGGCAGGAGCAGGGGCCGAGCAACGGGAGCTCACCCCGTCGCGGGGATTCGAACCGCCGACCTTCTGATTGGCAAGCCCCAGGCTCTGTGGTTTAACCCACAGCGCCACCCGCGTCCCACTTGGGTTAAGTACTTAATTCGTTCCGGAGATCCGTTCTTAACCTGAAACTGTTCTTAACCTGAAGCACCACTTTAGCTAATGGGGCCTCCCGCTGCTGCTGCGCTGCCGGAGCACGATTTCTGTTCTCATCCTGAAGCAAAGTTCTTAACCCTATTTCTGGGTTAGCAGAGTCTGTAACCTGAAGCGTATGTAACCTGAGGTACCACTGTATGGTCAAACCTGTGCTAAGGTGGGGTGTTTTATTTGGGGGGAGGATACAAACTGGCTTGTGTTGTGCTCTCTCATCCAGATTCTGGAGAGTTGCGAGGGAGGCACCCCTGTGTAGCAACGTTATGCTTTCCCTCCCCGTGCCCTAAGCCAGGAAGGAGACGCATCCTGGCCTCCCATCTGTGTTTTGCAATCCCTGCGCATGCGCAGAGAGGGCGTGAGCCCGCCCACAACACCTGCGAGCGTGTTCCGCAGAAAGCCGGGGATCGCAGTTATGCTAATTAGAGTGTGAGCGTTTACACACACACACACACACAAAAACGGGCCTCTGCATTCCAGCAGTCGCCATCTGTTGAGCAAATACCCTGAGAATGGGGGCATCCAACTGAAGAAAGGGAAAGCAAAGGGAAGGGGAGGGGGGGGCGCTGGCAGCCCTCAAAGCTGGGGGGGGGGTCGCCCTGGGAGTCACTACGGCGGAGCTGCAAGCCGCCCTGTGGAACCTCCTCCTCCTCGGACCTTGCAGAGTGCAGTAGTCAGCCTCCAATGGGGGGGGGGGTTTCGAGGGGGGGAGCGGGCGAGGGGGAGGCGGGAAGGGAGGACCAGTGTGGGAGGAGGGGTAGATTGCCCTGGGAAAACCAAGAAACGGCATCCAGGTTTTAGAGGCGAGCGAGGCCTCCTAGGAGAAGGAGGAAGGTTTAGCCTTCTGACTTCCCGGCCCCCTCCCCACAAAATGACCTGTCTTATAATAATAATAATAATAATTTATTATTTATACCCCGCCCATCTGGCTGGGTTTCCCCAGTCACTCTGGGCGGCTTCAAACAGAATATTAAAATACAATAACCTATTAAGCATTAAAAGCATCCCTGAACAGGGCTGCCTTCAGACGTCTTCTAAAAGTGTGGTAGTTGTTTTTCTCTTTGACATCGGGTGGGAGGGCGTTCCACAGGGCGGGTGCCACCACTGAGAAGGCCCTCTGCCTGGTTCCCTGCAGCTTGGCTTCTTGCAGCGAGGGAACCACCAGAAGGCCCTCGGCGCTGGACCTCAGTGTCCGGGCAGAACGGACGCTGCCTCCATCCTGGTCCTTGCCTGCTGGTAAAAGAGGAGTGTTAGGAGGCCTGGCGTGCAGGGCTTTTAAGGGACAAAGAGTTAACATTTCCGTCCACTACCCCCTCATTCCCTTTCGCACAGTGCCTGTCAGGACAGTTAGCCATCAGCCCAGTTGCTAACCCCTTGCAAATCAGCAAGGAGTGGTAAAATTGGCTGGACCGGTTTTTGAGATGCTTCCGGCCTGGAGAGTTTGGCTTCCTTTGACCGCTTGGAGAGCTTGGGAGCGAATATGGTGCTGGTGAGTGTGAATTGAGCTCTGCCCCATGGGTAGGCAACCTAAGGCCCGGGGGCTGGATCCGGCCCAATTGCCTTCTAAATCCGGCCTGTGGACAGTCCGGGAATCAGCGTGTTTTTACATGAGTAGAATGTGTCCTTTTATTTCAAATGCATCTCTGGGTTATTTGTAGGGCCTTGCCTGGTGTTTTTACATGAGTAGAATGCATGCTTTTATTAAAAATGCATCTCTGGGTTATTTGTGGGGCAAAGGAATTCATTCATCCCCCCACCCCAAAAAAATATAGTCCGCCCCCCCCCCACATGGTCTGAGTGACAGTGGACCAGCCCCCTGCTGAAAAAGTTTGCTGACCCCTGCTCTACCCAACCTCTCTCCTTCTGTGGCACAAGCCGGCTACATCAGTTCTTCCAGGCAGGAAAAGTTCAAAACAACCATTTAATTTTTTTTTTTTAACCAGATTAAATCACCCATCCGCATTCTTTGTACCTAGATAGGCTTGCCAAAAGAAAGAAAAATGTTTTCAGCAGGTGTTGGAAAGGTTTTGGTGAAGGTTCCTGCTTGAGATCAATTGGCAGGGAATTCCCAAGTGGGGGTGGGGGTTCGCCTAGAGCTTTGAAGGCACCACCCGTTGAGAGACCATCACCAGCTGAAGCCCACCCATTTTTTGAACCAGTTCCCCACCCTGTTCTTCTAACCACTAAGCATTGGTTTGTCCCCAGTGCTAGTCCTGCCCAGAGCAGACCCGCTGAAATGAGCTTGGCCCATTCATTGCAGTGGGTCTACTTTGAGTACAGCTTGGATGGAGACAGCCTCGTATTCTCTTTGTCCGACTGGACATCCATAAACCTGTCTGCAGGCCTCCAGAGACAGGCCTGGTTACTCATGGCAGGAACAGAAAATAGCCGGCCCCGTGTGTGTGTGTGTGTGTGTGTGTGTGTGTGTGTGTGTGCCCTCTCCTCTCATTCCAAGCTGAATGGTGACGTTCCGAGGGTCAAGGGGTCGGCGCCTAAATGGGAAGAGGAGGGGCAGCTTGCTTTTTGCAATGCGAAATGCGGGGGGAGGGGGGTGTTTCTTCCTGCCCACCAGCGACTTGATCAGCCAACATTTTTGCCCGGCATTCCATTCCTTCTCTGGTTCAATCAGCTGCCGTGGCTGCACATGGGAAGCTGCAGATGCATGCAACAAAAACCACACACACACACACACACACACACACACACACCAGCCCCAGCTTAAGTAGCAATGGGTTGGGTAATAATAATAATAATAATAATAATAATAATAATAATAATATACCACCTTTCGCGAGAAAAGCATGCATGCAAGACCAATTTCACAACATAACATCTATGTAACACCCAACTCAAAATAATTATACAAATGCAATTATTTTAAGGAATGCATAAAAAGGTAAAGGGACCCCTGACCATTAGGTCCAGTCGCGGACGACTCTGGGGTTGCGGCGCTCATCTCGCTTTACTGGCCGAGGGAGCCGGCGTACAGCTTCCAGGTCATGTGGCCAGCATGACTAAGCCGCTTCTGGCGAACCAGAGCAGCACACGGAAACGCCGTTTACCTTCCCGCCGGAGTGGTACCTATTTATCTACTTGCACTTTGACGTGCTTTCGAACTGCTAGGTTGGCAGGAGCTGGGACTGAGCCACGGGAGCTCACCCCGTCGCGGGGATTCGAACCTCCAACATTCTGATCGGCAAGCCCTAGTGGCAAGTCCACTGGAGCAGCAGATTCTGGTGTCAATCTTTCTTCTCCCCCAACACCTTGTTCCTATGCGGAGCTTCCCTGCCCCCTTCTTCTTTGGCGGGGAGGGGGGCACCACTTTGGGGTTCCTCTCGGGTGTATTGGGCTGGCCCTGGGACCTGGGTTTCACCTCCTACTCCCTTCTCCACACCAGACTCTTGCATCCAGGTTGGCGACAGATGTGAGATCAGGTACCATCTCTCAGTGGGGTTGGTTTGGGCCTAGTGCAGGGGTCAGCAAACATTTTCAGCAGGGGGCCAGTTCACTGTCCCTCAGACCTTGTGGGGGGCCGGAGTATTTTTTTGGGGGGGAATGAATGAATTCCTTTGCCCCACAAATAACCCAGATGTATTTTATTTAAGGACACATTCTACTCATGTAAAAACAAGCTGATTCCTGGACAGTCCGCGGGCCGGATTGAGAAGGCAATTGGGCCGGATCTGGCCCCCGGGCCTTAGTTTGCCAACCCATGGCCTGGTGGCTTCCAGGTGCCAACTCTTAGAGTAGGGGAATAAATTCAGACCCTACAAGTGTCCCTATTTTCCAGGGACGCCCTTGATTTAGAGAAGCCATCCTGGTTTCTGATTCAATTCCGGAATGTCCTGCTTTTCTTTTGGATTTCCCTATTTTCATTGTAGGGACGCGGGTGGCGCTGTGGGTAAAACCTCAGCGCCTAGGACTTGCCGATCGCATGATCGGCGGTTCGAATCCCCGCGGCGGGGTGCGCTCCCGTAGTTCGGTCCCAGCGCCTGCCAACCTAGCAGTTCGAAAGCACCTCCGGGTGCAAGTAGATAAATAGGGACCGCTTACCAGCGGGAAGGTAAACGGCGTTTCCGTGTGCTGCGCTGGCTCGCCAGATGCAGCTTGTCACGCTGGCCACGTGACCCAGAAGTGTCTCCGGACAGCGCTGGCTCCCGGCCTATAGAGTGAGATGAGCGCACAACCCTAGAGTCTGGCAAGACTGGCCCGTATGGGCAGGGGTACCTTTACCTTTACCTTTATTTTCATTGGAGAAATGTTGGAGGGTATGGAGTTATCCTGTACAGGGAAGAGTTTTTTATATTGTTGTTTTTGAAATGTTTTTATGTCTGCCCAGAATGGCTAGGGGCAACCCAATCAGATGTGTGGGGTATAAATAGTAAAATTATCATTATGGAATGGGGACGTCCCTATTTTCATCAGATAAATGTTGGAGGGTATGTAAATTAGGGTTGAGGTGAGAAAGTAGAGGGATTTTCCTCTGAGATCAGGCTCCTTTATCCCATTATAAATAATAATTATAGCAATGTGTTTACACAACTAGGTTAGGCTGGGACCTGTGCCCCTGTGGTGCTAAAGGTACTTTGGATAAGGAAACTCTGGATGATCTGGGAAGGCCTGGGCTAAAGTCCTACCTCTTTCCACATCCGGTTCTACTGGAAAGCTGCCATTTCTAAGCCTTGGTTTTCCCTATCTGTGAAATGGGGGAATACTGCAGTGAGGAACATGAGAGAGCTACGTTTTTATCTTAGGACTGCAACCTTTCACTGATAGGTTAGTCAACAAACTCTTTTTGTAATTTGATTAGTGCTGGCTAAGCGAAAGAGTCAAAGGTGCATTTTAATTCTGGGTTAGGACGTTAAGACACCTGCTTGTTTGTGTTTTGAGACTAGTTCCCCGTATGTGAGCAACAACGGGGAATGGGAAAGTAGAAAATTCAAAGCCTTCTCTTTCCTGAAATAAGGAGAAGCAGCTTTCATTTATTAAATTGCAAATCATTTCAAAATGGGATCTATTTTTGGTAATGTGCACATTTATTTCAACTTAATTAGATAAAAGACAGACAATTAATCAAATAAGCACCCGGAATACAAAAGCTTGTTTTTTTCTAGGTTCAGATATTGTGTTTCTTCATTTAGGAAGAGTGTGCTCTGTCTGTTCTGTGGCGGAATACATAAGTGAGAGCCTCGTTGAAGCACACTGTTTCCCCAACCCCTGCTCTGCCTAGTCTAGTTATAAACCATAAATCCACCTATAATGTGGTAAGCAGACGAGAAAGGTGTAGAAGGGTACTGCCTGACCTTATCAAAGTCCCGAATCCTGTGATCTGCAAAAAATTAAAATTAAAAATGGTGACAGTGCTCACTTCGCCCAAATTTCTTTTGGTGAGGCTCTGCTGGAGTTGTGCACATCTCACTGCAGTGACGTTGCTGCAGCCTTTTTATTTTGGAATTTTGGCTTTTGGGCTTGCCTGGAAAAGCCCGACCTCCCGACTGCATCTGCACCTCGCCCTCCTGGTTTTGTTCTTTTGCAAAGAGCTGCTGCAGTTTTTGCAAAGAATTGTCCTTGCGCACCCCTCCGCAAGCAGAGTTCTGGAAACAGAGGGCAATGGGTTTTACTTCTTGCATTTTTTGGGGGGTGGAGAGCGGGAATGGGAGGAAAGCAGGGTGGGGCCAGTGATCAAGTGGGGACACGGGTGATGGCTGCTGGAAGCCCCTGACAACAGAGCTTTCTCTGATGCATAATTTACGTCCCCTCCAGGCAGGGCTTTTAAGCTTTTAGCCGGAGGATATAAAAGCATGACAGCTGTTCCATTGGGCTAGGATTGGGCGGGTGGGGTGGGGGGAAAGAGACGGGATTTTATGTTTGTTAGGCGAGGCTTGTGTGCAAAGGGAGGCGGGGAGCGTGTGATAGCAGGGGGGTTCCACACTGCAGGCCCCCCTCTCCTTTTCTTGGGCATTGACAGGAGGGAGAAAGTTCTCTCTTCAATTTTCTGAGAGCCCTGCTAAGAAAGGAGGTTGACTCAAAACGGGAAGAAGTCAAAGGGGTTGTTCCTTGTAAGTGGAAGGATGCTTCTGTGTGGGATAAGAAACCTTATTTTATTAGCTTTTAAATCTCGCCTTTCGCCCCAAAGAGCTGAAAATCCCGACGACGACGACCCTGTAAGGTAGGCTAGGCTGAGAACGTGACCGATTGGCCCAAGGCAGCGGCTTCTCAAACCTCTTTATCTGGGCCACGTTTTCAGAAGAAGAAGGAAGGCTCGCTCCACACAGAATTTCTTATTGATGAGAAATACACTGGAAAACGAAAGAGAACAGTTCTTAGTCGTGCTTGATTTATAACATAGAACACAACTACTTTATAATATGATCATGGGGCACCCGGAAAGTATAAACGCAGCTACATAATAACACAAATCATTGCCAAAATATAATTATAAGTGAATTTTCTCCAGCGTTTCCCCAAGGTTGTGACTTTGCAGCTAAGATTGTCCTTGATGCTCTTGATCTCATTTTGAAAACACATCTATCCATATTCTGCAAATAATTTCCCCCCTCTACACTACACTGAAATGTTTAAGTGTTTCTTGGCTGGTCCTTGAACCTTCCTGCCACACTTGCTCTCCTCTCCTGCACATCAGTGTGGCGCACCACACCCTTTGAGAACCACTGGCCTACGGTCATTCAGTGAGCATCAGGGCTGAGCAGGGCCTTCTGCCTGGTTCTTCCTGGTACTAAACCAACACTCCAACCACTGAACCACACTGCCTCATCTTCAGAACCTTTCATGGTTATGCAGAGGCGGTTTTAGGGAAGTGCGACCGGGTACCACCCTGCAGGGAGCGCCAAAACAATACTGTAGAACGGAGCGCGAGAGGCAGGTGGCACCGAATTTTAGCGCCACTGAAATATCAGAGCCCAAAGTCTGCCACTGAATTATGGGACGTATTTCAAATAAACTCAGCACAGCATGTTCTTCCTTAGTAATCCGCCATCCCTGAGAGAGAGAGAGACTGAGAATGCCTTGCCTAAGCCCACTCAGTGAGGTGAGACTTAAAATGGGTGGGAGTCCTCTGCTTCCTTCATGATATTAAAACTTATTACAGTGGTACCTCTGGTTGCGAACGGGATCCGTTCTGGAGGCCTGTTCGCAACATAAAAAGAGCGCAACCCGCAGCGGAGTGTCTTCGCATGTGTGGGTTGTGATTTGTCGCTTCTGCGCATGCGCGTGGTGTCATTTTGCGCGTTTGCGCATGCGCGAGTGGCGAAACCCGGAAGTAACCCTTTCCGGTACTTCCAGGTCGCTACGGGACGTATCCTGAAATAAGGTAACATGAAGCAAACGTAGCATGAGGTATGACTGTACAGTGGTACCTCGGGTTACAGACGCTTCAGGTTACAGACGCTTCAGGTTACGGACTCCGGTAACCCAAAAATAGTACCTCGGGTTAAGAAATTTGCTTCAGGATGAGAACAGAAATCACACGGCGGTGGCAGTGGGAGGCCCCATTAGCTCAAGTGGTACCTCAAGTTAAGAACAGTTTCAGGTTAAGAACGGACCTCCAGAACAAATTAAGTTCTTAACCCGAGGTACCACTGTATATGTTATACAGAAAGGTCTCCAAGCCTATTTAAAAACATAAGCATAAGTTATAACATACATTACAGCATAGATTATAAAGCAAATATGTAGGACGTTGGCATGTGTTTTAATCTGATTTTTAGCTTATTGTTGTTTAAAGGCTTTAAAATGTTGGGTTTTTTTATTGGTAATTTCATTGATTAATTCTTCTTTTAAACTGCTTTGAGAGTTTTGGGGCTTTTCAATCAAACGGGATATGAATTCTATGAATTAAAGAAACAAACAAACAAACAGATGTACTGAGAAACCCACACAGTTTATAAGAAAGAAATACACAAGGCACACACACACCCAGCCCCAAATTAAGGTGCCTCCCCCAAGATGTTTGCTGTAGATTTAGGGCGATTTATCGTAATTTTCTTTCCACTAAGATAAATCCCAGAGCAGGGTTACAGAATAAAAAGTATAGAATAAAACAAAACAATCAGGCGTGGGGAATCCAACCACCACAGTAACCAACTCAAATATCCCATCCCAGCACTGCAAGAGTGGCGTTGCTGGACTCCGTTTCCCAGCGGCACCAGCCAGCATGGCTAATGGTCAGGGGTGATGAGAGATACAACAGCATCTGCAAAGTGCCACAGGTTCACCACCTCTGTAAAGGTAAAGGGACCCCTGACCATTAGGTCCAGTCGTGACCAACTCTGGGGTTGCAGCGCTCATCTCGCTTTATTGGCCGAGGGAGCCGGCGTACAGCTTCCGTGTCATGTGGCCAGCATGACTAAGCTGCTTCTGGCGAACCAGAGCAGCGCACGGAAATGCCATTTACCTTCCCGCCAGAGTGGTACCTATTTATCTACTTGCACTTTGACATGCTTTCGAACTGCTAGGTTGGCAGGAACAGGGACTGAGCAATGGGAGCTCAACCCGTCATGGGGATTCGAACCACTGACCTTCTGATCAGCAAGCCCTAGGCTCTGTGGTTTAACCCACAGTGCCACCCGCATCCCTTCACCACCTCTGAGGCTGGTTAATTATCTGATATCTGGAGTGGGTCATTATCTGAGCACCTGATGCCTCCCTGTGGCATCTGATGGCTAATCTTTGGTCTCCCAGGTATTGCTGAACCACAGGCTCCCAATATCGCTAACCACTAGCCATGCTGGCTAGAGCGGTTGGGAGTCCAACCATGTCTGGAGGAGCCTTAGGTTCCCTTCCCTATCTTGTCTACCTGTGAGCGGATGAGATGTCTGTGGCCAAGTATAGAGTTGTAGAGTTGGAAGGGACCCTGGGGGTCATTCAGTCCAGCCCCCGTGCAATGCAGGAATCTTGGCTAAAGCATCCATGACAGATGGCCATCCAACCTCTGCTTAAAAACATCCAAGGGGTCCACAGCCTCCCAAGAGAGTCTGCCGCACTGTCCAACAGCTCCTACTGTCAGAAAGTACTTCCTGGTCTTTAGTTGGAATCTTCCATGTGATTTGTTGTTTAGTCGTGTCTGACTCTTCGTGACCCCCTCTACCAGAGCACACCAGGCACTCCTGTCTCCCACTGCCTCCCGCAGTTTGGTCAAACTCATGACTGTAGCTTCGAGAACACTGTCCCACCATCTCGTCTTCTGTCGTCCCCTTCTCCTTGTGTCCTCCATCTTTCCCAGCATCAGTGTCTTCTCCAGGGAGTCTTCTCTTCTCACGAGGTGGCCAAAGTATTTGAGCCTCAGCTTCAGGATCTGTCCTTCCAGTGAGCACTCAGGGCTGATTTCCTTCAGAATGGAGAGGTTTGATCTTCTTGCAGTCCATGGGACTCTCAAGAGTCTCCTCCAGCACCATAATTCAAAACCATCCATTCTTCGGCAGTCAGCCTTCTTCATGGTCCAGCTCTCGCTTCCATACATCCATGTGATATCCTTTAGCTATTGAAGATGGCCATTGTATCCCCTCTTTTTGAGGCTAAACATACCCAGCTTCTTCAACCATTCCTCATAAGGCTAGGCTTCTAGACCCTTGATCGTGTACGGCTTTTCTCTCTCCTTTTGTGTTGATCCAGTTGACGTGTTAGAGGCCCTGACTGATCACCCTGTGACAGCCGGCTCTGCCTCAAGGACAGAGGTAGCCCATCTTAAATTGACGGATCGTCTGTCTGCTTTATCCCTCTTAACTCGCTGCTGTTTGCTCTGACTGATGAGGGCTCACCAGACCAGTGCTGACATCTAGAGAGGCTACAGCTTGAACCAGCCACTTTTTGCATGCAAGACACGTTCTCTACCATGACTGCTAGGTAAAGGGTAAAGGGACCCCTGACCCTTAGGTCCAGTCGTGACCGACTCTGGGGTTGCGACGCTCATCTCGCTTTATTGGCCGAGGGAGCTGGCATGCAGCTTCCGGGTCATGTGGCCAGCATGACTAAGCCGCTTCTGGCGAACCAGAGCAGCGCATGGAAACGCCGCTTACCTTCCCGCCGGAGCGATACCTATTTATCTACTTGCACTTTGACGTGCTTTCGAACTGCTAGGTTGGCAGGAGCAGGGACCGAGCAACGGGAGCTCACCCCGTCGCGGGGATTCGAACTGCTGACCTTCGGATTGGCAAGTCCTAGGCTCTGTGGTTTAACCCACAGCGCCACCCATGTCCCTCCACCATGACTGCTAATGCCTGCCTAATGGACAGCTTAGCCGGTCATGTATGGTGGCCAGATCTGAGGAGCACCTGCTACACAGGAAACAAAAGGGAGTAGTCCTTTGCACAGTTAGACTATGGAACTCACTCCCACAAGAGCCGGGGTGGCCACCAACGTGAATAGTTTCAAAAGGGGATTAGACAAATTCACAGAGGATAAATGATCAATTTACGATGGCTGTTCATGCCCCCAAATAACACACTCAGTCCCCACAGGGCTAGTTCAGACGGCACAATTTGCTTTTAGCTGCTGGTTTAGAAATCAAGGACTGTACGCCAAGATATTTAAAAAGAACCTCCATGCCAGATGCAGGGACAAATATAGGACATATATTACCTTTATATTCTGTTCATGAATGCCCGGTCGTGTCTGTCTGGTTCCTGTGTGTAGCAGTATTCTAAACCATATGGATCCATGAAAGCAATTCATATGCATAACCTCCTTCCTGCTCTTACAGCTGTGATGCAGCAGCTGGGTCTGTAATGTTCAACCAGCTATGCGCGTGAGCGGGTCAAAGTGAGTAGGGGAGAAGGGAAAACTATCTAGAGGCTCTCTATTCTTAAAGACCCTGATTTCATCACAGATTTCAGTTTACAACAGTCCTCCCAAGGGTGAGATTCCACCACCAGCCTCTAGGGGGCCTCTAACATTCGACGCTTGATACCATGTCTCCCTCTAGTGGCCACATATGGTATGACCCCAAAACCTCTTTCTAACCGAACCACAGCAGATTTAGTCCCGCACCAGTTACAAACATGGCGGGCCTCTTTCTCCGACCATCTTTCTCAAAGGGTTTTCTCTCTCCATTTCTGCTCCTTTTTCCTCGCAGGGACTGTCTAGACAACAGCGTGGCCTCCCCCAGCACGGGAGATGACGACGACTTAGACCGAGACAAAAAACGGAACAAGAAAAG